GGGCTGGGCTGTGCTTGGGGCAGGGTGGGCGGCAGCACTGGGAGGAGGGAGTTGGGGTGGGGGAGGGCTACAGCGAGTGGCTGCAACACCTTCCCCCCCGGAACCCCCTTCCCAGTGCTGCCAGTGGTTGCCCCAAGCGCAAGCCAACCCAGCTTCTGCTGGGAAGAGCCTAGCCTCAGCCCCAGCCTGCAGTGGCAGCCTGGTCTGTGCATATCTGGGGGGCACACCCCCATATCCGCCCGGTTTGCATGCAGTGGCGGGAGCTGCCCCCCACCCTTCTTGCACCCCCTGGATGAGCTGCTTGCGGCTCTGTCCTGCACCCCACCCTGGCTGGGTAGTGCCTGCCCCAGCCCCACTCCCACTCCCTCCCTCCCTCACTGCAGGGGCCTTGATTTCACCCCCCACCACCACACTCCTTCCCTTCTCTCTCCCCTTCCACCACAACAGACTTACCAGCTGGACACTACTCTTCAAGCTGCGGGATTGCGTATCGGACTGGTATCAGCTGATATGCCTCCTTAAAAATTGGCTATCGGTATCGGCCCCAAAAATCTTTATCGGTGCACCCCTAATCATCATCAATGACTTATCTGTCATTCTTAGCTGTGTTTTGTGTCCGTTGATCCGCCTTTGAGGCATGTAATCCCTGCATTGGAATCCAGACTTTCTCTTGCAGTATCTTTAGATGTCCTAGTATATAAGCCCTTCTTAAGGGCATAGAGAGTAGAACAACCCCAGCTGTCAATTCTTTTGCTACTCAGACAAGACCATGATTTGAGGAACCAGGGTGTGTTCTGGGATCCACATGTGTGGAACATCTGAAATAAAATTCACAGTGACTGTAAGGTAGATTGAACAGATGAATCACACTAGGGATACTTGACAAACAGTTTGCTCGTAAAGGTAATGAGATTGAGGATTGAAGGACTTGGTTGTCTGTGTAAGACATCTGATCCAGAGCCTGTGACTAGAGGAGGCCTGATGAATGAATGAACCACTTGGCTTCCTTACAAATGGCCCCTATTCATGTTTTACTGTAACAGGTTTCTGATATAGCTTGTGCGCTAGTTGAATAAACTCTGATATGAATTAGAGATTCTGACCACTAAAATTGCCTGTTTTAAATGCAATCATAAATCTGTTTAAAAAGTTTTGTAACTAATGCTGCCTTTTTTTCTTGGACTTTTCAGTGAAAATTATGAGTAGTTTAGGCAGGTTGCAGATGGTTCTTATCCTACAGAGGTAGCGTGCACATCCAGTATATGTAACTTCATTTCTTCCACCAGTCTCAGTTGTATCAGCGTTAGAAGTATTTTTTCTGGAATCTGAATCCAACTTCTGGACCATTGTGAAGGCCTTTGTCACTTGGAATAAGGCAAAGAAGCCAAGGGGAATTCTCTTTCTGATTGAAGGCTCTGGCTTAGTATTTTTTCAATTGGGGAGGAGGGTTTACAAATCAAGAAGTGTAAGGGTAGAACTCAAAGCTTTAATGAATATAAAGTGAGAGTTGGAGGAGAGCTGCTGTATTAGTGGTGATACGCATCCCCTTTTTCTTTAGCTACTTTTACCTTGGAAGAAAAGTATAATCTGTGAGCACAGTGCTGCGAAGCAGTCTCAAACTTTGTTGTGCGTGACAGCCACCAATGGAAAAGGAACACCGTGCAGATATGTTGTTAGCATTTTGTTGAAAAGAAGCACAGTTCTAAATCTTGAACTAAAAGCTGCTTTTACTTGTAGTTTGGTTTTCATGTAGAATAAAAGCTGCAGCTGTTTCCTTTCTTAAAATTGTTCTTGTATGTTCAAATACTTTTAAACCAATATGTAAATACTGTTTTCAGTGCCAATTTTTAAATGGTTTTGGGTACATATTCACACTTACTGAAATTTTGTAAAATCAAACTTTTTCTCTAGATGGCATGTTTTTCACTTCAGTATAAAATTCCTTTAGTGTTTACAGTGAAAAGCTGTTTAGACATTCAAGATATAAACAAAGTAATTTTGTGTACGTAAGGGATTCATGGGTCAGAATTTTTAAACATGCATACCTAAATTATTGTACAAATCCAGTTGACTTCAGCAACGCTCTTTGAAGGGGGAGTATAGTTTTTGCCATTCTTACTGTAGTGATGTTGCTTTGAAACTTGAACAGTTCTATAGAATCTGAAGTTCTTTTAGCAGGGAAAAAATGAAGAAACCAGTACAGAACTTTCACTTGAGCATTTTACAATAAAATGAGAAGACCTTTTAACAGATAGGAACATCTAAACAAAGCAAATCTAAATTGAGAATATTTTGATATGAATAAAAATAGTCTTTGATCCACCTTGAAGACCAGTCTAATCTAGGTCAAAATTAATTTTCTTGTAACAGGTTGCTCCAACTTATCTCTGGAAGTGGAAATATAGATACAAAGCAATAAACGAGTCTGTATGAATTTTAGTCAACTAAATAATATGCAATAGATTGGATTTAAAGTGGGATTATAGTAGATTGTTTTGAGATGATGCACTTCTATTATATAGGTTTTTCTGACACAAGGGTGGTCTGAAAGCAATGTCAGATTTTGGCTTGCTTACTAACTCTCATGATCCATTTTAAAATTTGAAAAAGGAAAATCACTACAAAGTTATTATTGAAGGATACCAAAACAACAGAAAATGATTAGCTGCTTAAATGCTAACCTTTTACAATGTTTTCAGAAAGAATCTTTAAGGCTGACAGCTTGTGGATGAATTGAAAAATTGAGTGTTCAGTCCAGACAAAAGCATTATTTATCTGAAGGTTATTATAAGTGCAAGTAACTTCAGGTGCAGATTGAATTTCACTGATAATAAAAGAAGCATGTTACGTTTATCACATACGTTGTATCATTAGAACTTTAAAATTTTAATACAAGACTTCAGCTGATGCTGGTGAAAAGAAAACGGTTTAGTTTATCTGCTCTTCACTTCGGTTATGAAGGTATTGCTGAAATATTCTCAGACTTTAGATAGGGCTTAAAATACCATATTTTCTTGCAGGCACACACTCCGGAATATAATACACACCTTGTTTTGGAAAGGCAGAATGAGGGGAAAAATAGATTTTTCTTGGAGTTATGACTACATAGAATGACAGCCTAATCTCTAGCTGATTTATACTCCTTTTCCTGCTTAAGTTCTTAAGTAAGAGGACCAAGAGCAACTATAGATAGCAAAATTGCTTGATTAGGGGAACGCCAAGACTATTTAAAAATGTTCATTAGCACCTGTGGAGTGGAGAACAATGAACCATTAAGTCAGTTGACTCCCTCAGCTGCCTGAATAGTAGTGCTACAGCTACTGCACTGTAGAGCACTAATGCAGGAAGCCTCTCCCATACGCAAACTCAGCTGCTGCTTAATGCATGGGAGACTGATTTTGGTGCAAAGGATACATGTTTTATATAGCTAAATATAGTACTTACACTTTAGAATTGATTTTTTACATTCTGGTTTATAGTTGCTTTATTGTGAAGCATTTAACATTTTTTCAATGCCTTTCATTGCCTTCTGGAGAAAATACAAAATTCTGAAATCCTGTCACCACATGGATGTGGCAGTACCTACCCTGCAGGTCCAGCAGGACCAAACACTTGAGCCAGCACCGATGACTGCCATCCTGAGTTACATTGCTGGCACCCTCTTTAACTTAGGACCCAAGGCTCACTTGCCAAACCCTTCAGCTGCCTGTACCATGGGTTGACCACCACTACTCCTATAATAAGAGCAAAGTCTTTCTTGAGAACCATTGTTATCTGCCCCTCTTACTTCAGACTTGAAGAGCTGTTCTGTTATATTTGGAATTAAAATAGAATAGAAAAAATACTGAGCTCTTGAGGCTTATGATTTGTTCCCTAATCCAGGGATGCTCAATCTCTGGTCCAGGGGCCATAACTAGCCCACAGTGCCGTTTCACCTGACCCACAGTGCTCTCCATAGGTCTGAAAGTTTGGTAGTGGGGGAGCAGTGTCACCACCCCCCTGCTGCCGGATCTCCAGACCCAGGAGGAACCCTGGGCTCTGCATGCTGGTTTTGGCGCCTGTTCTCAGTGTGCAGGGTCTGATATGGTCAGTGTTAGGTCCCAGTGCCCCCCAGCGTTGGAGGTTGGGAGAGTGTGGCATTGGGCCCTGGGACCGAATCCCAACATACAGGGAATGGGAAGGAGCAGTGCTGGGTTCCTTGGACCCAATCCTGGATCATGAGGGTGGGCAGGAGGGAGTGGTACAGAGTCCCCAGGGTCTAATCTGAGTGGGAGGGAGTGGTACCGGGCTCCCGGGGCCCAGTCCTGGTGCCCAGGGCAGAGAGGGATGGTGCTGGGCCAGATCTGGACCGCAGACAAGCACTGCGCCATTCATCTGGTCCACAGGGCCATGTGTGGGGCACAACTACCCTAATGCTTGTAGTAGTTTGTTTAATTTTTATGGAAGGAATCTTTCCCCCCTTTTCCTTTTAGCTGTATTTCTGTGCTGCAAGTTTTGAATAGGTTGTTGCCTGAGAATGAGTTGAAATTTATCTCCTTTTTCCACAAACAGCAATGTGTACTATAAATTAATATACTACATTGTAATATGCATTGTATATAATATTTCAAATGTTATTTCTGTTTTTTTAGAAAAGATTACAGAAAGAACTGTTGGCTTTGCAGAATGACCCACCTCCAGGAATGACTTTAAATGAAAAGAGTGTTCAAAATTCAATTACACAGTGAGTGTATTGCATTTCATATTTTCAATATCATCTCAGACTATAGACAACTACAAAGTCTCCCCTCCTGCTTTAGGTAACATTAACAGAATATTCGTGTTGATCTACGGATATATAAACACTGAGGTTAATGAGTACATTGCTAAGTGTGTTTATTGGTAAACTACGTGAGTGAGTGATCTGCAATATGTTACATTTTACTGTCTTCTGTAAAATTTGGGTAGGTGTTAACTTCAATTTTTTTAGATTAAACTATCAGAGGAGGACATCCTTCACACAGAATTTCATCTGTGTCTCAATATTATGAATCACTTAGTTGCAGTTCTACTAGACTTAATTTTGAAAATTGAGTGGTATATTGGGTTTATGTTCCTCCTGCATCTGCTTTTTGAGCTAACCTTGATATGTGAGCTATTCACCCTGAAACCAATATCACATTACTCTTAAAACAAGTGGAACAAAAACCTATGGGGCAGTTTTGACTTGAAGAATATTTATATGTTTGAATTTTCTCTTTACTACAGTTACAGTTAACATTTATGATTACCTTAAATCAGGGTTTGTCAACTGGGGATACATGTACCTCCCAGGGATACTTAGAAATGGCTCTTA